AAAATATAAAAGATACAGTTGTAAAGTGTTAATAGTTTTACATCTTTGGACAGTCAACAAAAGCGATCATTCGCGAACGGTGGCTCCGCGACCGGTTCGCGTGTCGCCGCGGATAGAAAACATTTCAGTTCGCCGAGTCCGATTCCGCGGAGGATACTCTTCGGATACCTGTTGTTTCTCGCGCCAACTCCGAACCAACTAAAAGTCGTCTTCCCTGATCCGATGACCGAGTCGCCGACGTGAACGAGGATTCTTTCGTTGATTGGCATCGATACTTGGCGAACGCCGGTCAACCCGATAAACGATTCGAACGAATGATTCGTAAAACAACAGCTGGGCTCGTGCAATCAACTGAACAGGTACTCAAACAGCAACAAGAACAACGCCGGTCTCGGTGTTCGCCAAGCATCGATCCGGAGCACCGTCTTGGAGCGAACGTTTCATCCTGGGACACGTTCCGGCGAATGAGATTCGAGAGTACCGATCCTCTACGATCCATTCTGTATCCGAGTACTTGAAATCACCCGGAGATCGGTCGAATCGACACGAATCGAGGGGAGTAACGAGAGAGGAAAGCGACAGAAGGCAACGGAGGAAAGATAAAACGATTCTGTTAGGAGGAATTTCAGCGTCGAGCTTCGCTTCTCGTGTCCCAGAATGAAACGTCCTTCACGACAAGGAAGTTGTCGCCCGCGATTCATCGTTAATCAACAAACAACACGAAACGGATGTCTAAACTAAGCCACCCCCCCGCCCCCAAGTCTCGTGGTGATTTTTTACGTGAATTATAGCACACATTTCGACTAGAGTAATATCATATACGCGCTTTCAAATGAAATCTCGAAGACGAAAGTAATATGTACAGGGATTCCAGCAGTCTTGGCGGCTCGAACGGATCAACCGATACAATGCGATTCGGCGCCGCGGTGCGCTCGTCCGAATACAAAGTGCGCGCTCACCGGCCGGAAATCAATTGGCTGCCGTCCGATCGTTCGAGCGAATCATTATTCAATATAACAACAAGACATAGAATTCACGCAGAAATAAAATCTCACGAGCAATCAATTTAACAGTAACAATCAAGGGCTCGCCACGAGATGCGTCGAAAATTAACAGAGCAATGCGCGACTCCCGTGATCGAATTCGTGTTCCATCGTCGAGTCGGACCGCGTTTCGGAGAGCCCTGCGCGCCGTGGCGGTACGTGTTCGGCATACCGTCTCGCCGCGCCGCTTTCCGATCGTTCCGCGCGACGAACGTCGCAGTGTTCCCGTGACAACAACAAAATTCCTAGAAAATCAGCATGTCCGTTCGGAGAACAAGATCCGCCGTGATACATCTTCCCCGGCGACGATCGAGGGAAACGCGAGAACCTCGCCGATCTCGGACCGATCACAAACGAAAAGAATCCAATCGACTACGCGCGCTCGGAACCGCGCTGTTCCCGGGACACGATCAAACAACTTCAACGCGGTTTACAAAAGAATTCCTCGGTCGGACCCATTCCGATACTTAACGCTACAACTACCGAGTTTATTTCGAGAATTGAAAGAGCAATCGAATCGATCCGCGCGTCGATCACCGAGAGAATTGTCTTCGAGAAATCGGAAATTTAGCGATTCCCAACGATCTAGTAGTTCTAGCGTTAACAAGTCCCGGTAACCCGCTTTTCGCGAGGGAATCCCACGGGAAACTTCCCGGTTTCGAAACGAGGTGAAAGAGCGCTTGGAAATTCCCTGTTCCCTCCCCCAGCTTCCTCGTGCAGCTTCGCTGTTCGGACAACGGAACACGTTGTATCTTTGGCTTGTTTATCGTAACCATCACCCGTCCCCAGACTCGCAGAAATGAAACGGCGAAAGCTCGCGAAATGCATAGGTCGCATTGTCGGGAGAAACGAGGACACCCGCGTACGAGTAGTCTCTGCAGTGTCTCTGTAGCCGGGATAAACTCAATTGGCCGCCGCGAACTCGCCTGTCCCATCGCTGAATCGTTCGTGAATCGAGAGCAACTTCTCGCCTAATTCGGCAGGAATTCAGGGCAGTCGCTGGATTCGCTCAGAAACAAACGTTACAGCAGGTCGAGCAGCCAATTGACTTTACCATCGATTACAAGCGAATACTTTTACTCGGTACGATCCTTCCATCGGTTTCGCGCGTGCAGATACGGCCGCGGTGTAATACTATGGTTTACAAGACGATTACAGAGGGCAAGAGATATTCCCCAACATCTTCGATCAGCGCGATTTCCAGTTGCTGCTGCCTGGAGCCTGTCGACTCCCTCTCGTTCCCAAGACGCTGTGTCTAGCGAAGATCCGTCCTTCGTTTCCTCTAAAAAATAACATCCTTTGGGCTAGAAAAAAGGTACGCTTCGCGAATTACACGAAAGAGAGAGGGGATCCCGTCCGAACGGAGGACGATTCACGCGGCCTCGCGTCCCTCGGGAGCACGGCTGCAGCAATCGAAGCAATCGGGCCGCGGCTTCGAAGTTGACTCTTACGTTAAGTAAAAATAAGGGTCCGTGATTTGCTGTGTCTATTTACAACGTGGAGTACACAGTATGCATTAGGTTCTCGTGTAAGGATCGGGCAACGACACTTTTCACACGAGTCGTGGGTTGGCCTGATTCTTCCTCGTCCGTTCTTCTTTAGTTACGGATCGATTCGGTGACGTTGAACCTTCCCCCGATTTAGCGGAGGATCACTGAACGCTTCCGGAGACACGGATCTATCTTTAGACGCGGCCCGGAGACTTCTCCGATTGTCTGGCTGAAACGCCTCTAGACAGCTCCGTTCGAGTGGCACTTTCGTACTTCGCCACGGCGATTCCGATCATCACCGAATGGATTCGTATCCGATTCGATACTGCCGCGACATTGTCCACCGATCCGGGAATCCTGTTCACTGTCACTTACATCGTTTCCAGAGTCACTCGGAGAACCGCGTCTTTTCGTCTTCCATCTGTTTAGCTCCCGTCGTCTATGCACTACAGGAAAAACTTTGCTCCTTTCCGCTCCTTAAAGTCGATCCTCTCTTCAGTCATCCTCGAAGGAATGCTGATTACTTCCCCGCTAACACGTTCAGCTTTCCGTTAAGTTACAATTGAAATTCCCCCGGGACGAAAGGGCGATCAGTTGTCGCTCTCGGCGTAATCGTCGCTGTCGCCGCTGTCGTAGTACTGATTTCTGGACTGATGAACGGACTCCGACGAATTGATCGCTGATTGGTCGTCGAGGTAGTCCTGGTGCTCGGCGTTCTGGAGCAGATCCACCGATTCACCGTCCAGTATATCCAGGTTCTGGGAGAACACGTCCTCCGACATGGAATCGTAAGACCTGCGGACCGACAAGCACGTTAGTTCCGTTGAGCGTTTTTCCCGGGCGTTGGTCAACTTTCTATAGGCCAAGCGGTCTCGTTGGGCTATAGACGAGTCACAGCACTCTACAATGCAAAATACTCGCGAGCATTCGGCAAATTACGGCGGGGACGATGAATATTCCGCCGTAAAATGTCGAGGACTCGATTAGTCGGTTACAAACGATGCAACTTAAAATCAGTTCGCTCAGCTGAACCGTAATCGGTTGAAACTAACTTGCAGCAACGAAAAGGATAAAATCGAAGAACGATGAATGGGGTGACGTCTATGTTTCGTCGAACATTTGAGAAACTATTACAGGTTTATTAGTATCTCGATCGCGTTTCATTCAATGCACTCTGATTGCTGAAGAAAGGCTCGATCGTCACGGAATTAATACAGAAATACCGAACACTGCAGATCTTCGAAGAAACTCAACGACCCGACTCAAGAATCCAACTGATAAACATGTTCGCGACCAAAGAAAATAAATGAAAAAAGAAGAAGAAGAAGAAGAAAAAGAAGAAGAAGAAGCAGTTAGCTGACTTTCTATTAATGCGTCACGCATTCACGTGCATCATACCATGCATTTCTGTGTTCTTTACTTACTGAGCTGCAGATGATGGTTACATTTCATCATCACACAGCCTGCAACAAACGCATAGATCGCACCATTGTCATTACGGTCGTGGTACACAGAGGTAGTGAAATTGTTAGATCCCCCGGGATAAGGGCAATACTGTCTACCTAATACGGCAAAGCATGCCAGAATTCGGAAGCTATGAGTTCCGTTTCATAGCTCGGTTCAAAGCAAGAACTTCCTACAAGTGAGATCGGTTCATCTATCGCTCGTCAAAGACTTTTCGTTCTTTTCCGTGAGCATCGAAGACTATTTTCATTTGAAACTGATCGTCGGAACGATATTCTACTAACGACTGAAGAGAAACGATGACGATGGCATCGTGAGACAAGGGTAATGTATAGATGAACCGTGGATGTATTCTACGCCGCGTTACGCCGGTACTCACATCTGTTCGTTCTGTTCGTTACCACTCTCTTCGGCTACCAGCATCTCGTACTCCTCGGCTGCGAATCGGTCCCAGTCCGACAGCTGCTCGACAGAAGATTATAATAAAATATCGACTAAACTATCGAATCAACGATCAACAAGGATAATGTCCTCACCTCGTGGCCATCAGGGTCGTGCTCCCTCGCGGACGCGAATGGATCCCTCTGCTCGTGATCCAGGTACTTCTCCAGATTGAAGAACGTGTCGAAGAATATCGACGTCATCTTGCATCTCTTCAAGTCGCTCAGCGATATCTTCCCAGGCGTCGCCGGCTTGATCATGTCCAGCATCTGCGCGAAATTCATCGGAAATCAGAGCAACGGTCAGCACGTCCTAACTATGGACAAGATCAGTAACATTCCGAATAGCTACCTGACAAAGACAATCCTCGAACGGCAGCGTCTCCAATCCGATCGCCTCCATGCGGTGCAGCTGCTCCTCGTAAAAGTACTCCAGCTCGTACATTGATAAGTAGCCGTCGCCGTCGAGGTCCATACACCTATCGCCGATCATAAATAAGTTCGCCATCAGGAAAACAAAGAAAAGCGTTCGAGGAATTGGAGATCCTACCTAAACCAATACTCGATCGCGGTGGGATGATTCTTGTCCTCCTCGCTGAGCAAGAACCACACGAACTCCGTGTAGCTCATCTTGTCCTGGGGCTGCTGCACTCCGTTCCCGCTTTTCACGCCTCCCCTTGTCACGGCGCCGCTGAATATTCTCGCGATCATCCGCTTCGACAGGGCTGCGCGGAGCAAGCAATTTTATTCGACGATCGCTCGAGAAACGGAAAACGGGAGAGCTGTCTCTCGGGGAAGGGCCTCACCGTGATCGTTGTGCTTCGTCAGGTCCTTCTTATCGATGAAGAGATCGTGATCCCGGTCCAGCTCCCAGAATTTACAGTAGATCACGTAGAAGTGCTCGTAGCTGAAGTACGCGGTGACTTGGTTGATGTCCTCCTCGTGCTCGAGGACCGCGATCACCGACAATAAGTTGCTCCTCCTCAGCTCGGCCACGGAGATCCTGCCGCTCCAGCTGCGGTTCACGCAGTAGAATATCCTGGCGATCACCTGGTACACCAAGATAACATTTCTCAAATCTTCCACGTTCTCAGTGAAATCTGTCGGACGACGTCTCGGACGGACAGCGGAAACGGAATCGACAGGACCGTAGAAGCTGATCGCTTCGAAGACAAACGCGAGTATCGCGCACTCGGCGAATTCGAGTGCAAAATCGACAACAAATTAAAAACTCAGGCATCCTCTGGTGCTAGCAACACGCGAGCGATCGCGATAATTGCTCGAGGCGATCGCCTTGAATAATTCAAGACGATCTCTCGTTGCGTAAACCGCCGCCGACGGGATTTTTCCGTCTGTTCCGCGGCGCGTCCGAGGGAAGCGTGTTTCGCCGCGGAAACCCTGGCAAATATTTATCGCGCGGAATACGGACCGTGTGTACGTAGCGCGAATGGAACTCAGTGGCCTCTTTCAGGAAAGTTAAACCGGGATGAGTCTCGACCACGTCCTGCACCAGCGGGATCAGATCCTCGGGGAGTATGTTGTTCCTCAGGCCGCGGGTGGTGATTCTGATGAATTTGCTGGCCGCGTCGTGGTGGGTGTTCGACATTCTGTAAACGACATACCGATCTTTTCACGTTCGTTCGATTCGCGCCGGTTCTCATTGGGACTGCTGATTAATCGAGCCTCCGTTTGTTTTCTCGCGGGAATTATAAGGCTGCGTGTACTGATCTTTTTATTGACTTGTGTTCTAATCTTCTTATCGTGATATCTAGTTATTCTATAGACTCTTAACGCTGAGACTATCGAACAATTAGCGTTTCTAAAGAAGGAACCGGGAACCTTTTCAATCGTTAGATCCAATGTTAACACTAGAACTACCGAGCATTTAATGCTATTAATATGCAATTGCTATAAAAATTGTAACAATAAATTATCTTCAGTTTCTTCGGACATTCATTATAGCACTCTAGTGAAACTATTTTTTTTTTAAATCGTTTCAAATATTCAATGCTTTAAAGATATCAATAACTGCTAAAAATCGAAACCAGTCATTTTGACTGGTACGGTAGTTCTAGTGTTAAGTTCCGGTGTCTGGATTGAACTTTGAACCTCTTCGAGAAGAATTTTGGAAACAGAAACGATTCGAGTCTCCAGCTGCGTTCTACACGGTTGCGCGGAGACAAAAGAGGATAAGAATAATTGCGAACGTGTTATAAATGCGCGGACATGCGTATTCTCGAAGAGGCTAACGTCTTTATTACACCGTGTAAGAGAATGCTACGTGGAGGGCGATAAACTCTAGGAGAAAAAAGGTTGTGCAAGTTATTTATGACTGGAGCTAATAGATAGAACGGGAGACATCTTGGTTCCTCAAGGTTCCTCCGCCACGAATCGCGTCGCTCGCTCTCCTCGTGTGTTTTATCGCCGTTTTACGGTACGAATAAAATTCCGACGTGTCACGCATCGCGAGTATCGCGCCCGGGGAAGGGGATTTTCGTCTGGACGCTGGTACGTACTCCTTCCAGAAATCGAGGAAGGCGTTCATCTCTACGTAGCCGGTCTGATCGCCGCCAGCTGCCAGGAAGAGCGGCACTTTCCAGTAAAGCGGCAAATCGCACGCCTGCAACGATAAATCGGTCGGAATCAAACTTATGATCGCACTGCTGATTCGATGCTTTCGTGGCCTGGAAGGCTCTAGCTGTTCGAGGCTTTCGAGGAAATCGTAAGAAACCGTAACATCAACGGGAACACGGAATCGCGTCTGAATCCCGTACGAAACGTCCACTTCTGGTTTCTCTAATCGTCCGGACGATCGATTCGAGATAACTAATTGAGTCGCTCTGGAACCAATGGAGTCGAGAAAACGGAAATTGAGGAAATTAATGCTTCGGTTTCTGAAATGATTATTCGCCGTATTCGGAAGCTATATAAAGGACTTTCTGGCTTAGAGAAGACAACCGAAGACTCGATTATCAATACGGTTTTGAAGCTCGGCAAAGGTAGCTTGCTAACAAAAACTTTCCAACTCTCGACTTGCCCCCGAAAGCCTCGAATAACTGACACCTTGACTTATTCATCGACGAAAGCAGTGTCCGTAAATGTTGTCCGAGTTTGGACGTAACTGCTGGGTCTGCTTACCTTGGTGATAGCGTGAAATTGGGCTCGAGAGGCGCGATGGCCCGGCAAGGACTGGAACGCAGCGGTAATTTTCGCGACGGTCGCCTCCACTTGAGACAATGACAACGGTTTCCCGCCGGGGAAGTAAAATCTGCAAGCGTAAAAAGGGGGATCCCGTGATCAGCGTGCTCCATCGTCCAACGATCGGGCTCCGAAGCATCTCCCGGCTGCGCCCTCGACGCGTAACGCGACGAAGGCGAGCGTAGGGGTTGAAAGTAACGTTTACCTCGGTATGTGGACGTTCCTGTTCGCTTTCACGTGCCTCTGTAGCGTCGTGTGGGGCGGCAGATTCTTCTGCTGGCTCTTGTCTTTCGCGTACGTCTGGAACCAACGAAACGTTCAAGAGAAATCGGATGGAAATACAATTTCAAAGATCCCTCGTAGAGTGGTAAAACCAATCAACGACGAGAGAGCATGCACTTTGAACGCGAGACAAACCTACCGTGTATCTAAAGAAAAAACCGAAATGAAGACTCGCGTGTTTATCCGAACAATAAACGATCAACGTTGGAAGACTTATTCTAGCTTTTCAGGTGAAGGGTACTCGTCGAACAAGGTCAACTAACCAGTTCATTCAAAACCTCTCTCGACGAAAACAACGCGCGTCCGCCTATGGGCGAAGCGCGTTGCGAAAACGCGAGACAATAAAAACATTATAGGCTAATGGTATTCAGCCGCGGTCGATTCCGCGAGCGTTAACGGTGTCGAAGATCCGCGGGGAGCAGCGTCGCTGGCAAAAGGTCTCTTTATTGTCTTAAGGTTACAGAGATTCGGTTCGGCGAAAGGGCAACGAGGGATCTCGAGGATGCGACGGGCCCCGTCGCGATTTTTCGCGCGGCGAAGGCGGAGATCGATCGTCCGGCGCGGACGCGATCGTAGGCTCGCCTCCGAGGCCGGCGTGGAAGTGTTTTCTAGGTGTCGGCGCACCAAGGACACGGCATCCTGTTACGCGACTGCGTCGCGAAGGATCCGAAGAATGCAAAGGGGCCGGGCGTACGCGGCTAATGCATCGCCGCGCCTTGCGCCTTGCGCCCGTGTGACTCCGGTTACATCACCGGGCCGCAGCTATGCCGAGGAAAACCTATCCACGTGTTAATTGCCGACGCTTGTGCGTCGATACCCGGCGGAAACGATCGCGGCTCTTGTCACGCGGCGTTTACCCGCGTGTCCCTGCGCGCCGGGCCTCGAGAAAGTGTTGCCGGTGTGTTACGCGTTTGATAGGTTCGCAGGTATCCGAGGTGTCTTCGAGATTCGCGTGTTCGAGGCTGAACTTAATGTATTGACCCTTGAGGGAGCAATGCCGCCACAGAAGAGATGACAGTTTAATTACTGGGTCAACTGTCGCGTGTACGACGAGAATCATTTTATTATTTTTATCACTGTGGATTCGTTTCCGTTAAAGGATACCAGAGCTACCGTGAAAATGACTGGTTTCGATTGGTATATTGAAAACATCGAATATTCGAAATGATCTTCAAAGTAAATGGTTTCACTGGAATGCTATGATGAATGTCTGAGAAAACTGAAGATAATGTGATACAATTGTTATAAGGATTACGTATTATTCGTATAAAATGCTCGGCAGTTCTAGCTTTAACGGTAGCAGCTAGGTTTCTAGACTAAATTCGGAAGCAGTCGCTCGCGAAAAGTCTAGGACGCAGCCATTCGACGAAGAGTCGCCGAAGCTGTTGGTCTCAGTACTTGACGAGTGAATGCAGTGGGTTCCAAGCGCTATCGCAAAATATTCCCGACTCGCTTTACGAGTTTCTTATATCCTGCATAATCAACGGAATGAACCCGAAGCAGCGCACGAACAGTGCACTCGAATTAACATGGAGTCGCTGAATGATTAAAGGGGAATTCCCCGGGTTTTAGGAAGCGATCGATAACGCTGCCCCAGGAGTTTAAGAGCTCGGCAGCGTGCCTCATCTTTGTCTCGAGACAAAGGACCCCGAAATCTCAATCTTCGGTTTGTTCCTTAAAAGACAGCAATTCCTGGAGAAAGGTGTACAGCGGAAGCCCGACGGTTCCAATCTCTCTCCGCCGCAGAAACGAGGAGCGAGCGAGCGAGCGAGCGACGGGAATAGAAACGGGTAACGGCGGTGTACCCGATATTAAGAGGAGAAACGGCGAGCGATAATAAAAATAGCGTCGCGACTACTTCGAGAGCTTCCATTTGGGGAGGAAAATCAATAATGCATTCCATTCTGCCGGGTGAAAATAAGGCAATGCCCGTCGGAGCCACTGACCGATAACTCGGAGGAGACTCGGGATCAAATAGATCAAGTAGACGACTCGCTGCCAGCCGACTGCCGATCAATCCTCGAGAGTTATCGAGCTAGCTGCGAACCTTTCGGTTCGTCGAATCGAGAATTTTCTTCCGGCGAACACGCCATTAGAAAGCTTCGTTACTCGAACGTGGCATCCCCTAAATTGCATCGTAACTCTACGCTACTCTTCAACGGAGTCTTATTAACGCTAGAACTGCCAGGTCAAAGCGAAGCCGGTTGAGATCTTAATAAATTCGTGCTCGTAGCTTTTACAAGGAAATTTTCAAACGACCGTTTAACTGCTCGGTGGCTCTAGCGTTAGACTCAAAGATTACCGATTCGAAAAACCTGATCCCCTATTTGTTAACACTTCTACTCTCAAGAGGATTGCATCGGTATGCAGAAAATGGTTCTGACAGACAAAAGTGCGCCGGGACTAAACGAGGAAGACGCAATCTCCCGACTTATCGAGCAGCTACGATCGCGCGGATACGTTACGAAACTCCGGAACAGATCGAATCTGCGCCGCGTGACATTGGAATAGATTGCACGCTAGCAGAACCAGGCCTCGCAATTATTGTGGCCTCTGTTTGGCACGGTCCGCTGCGTGACACACGGGATACCGTCAATCAGCGTCCCAATTGACATCACGAATTCGACTGCGCCTCTCGATCGGGCTCCGCTCTGCCAAGGGCCGGCGATACTAAATTCTTGACCTTCGACCAGCTTCCGTATTTCCATTTCGACTCGCCCGAGCCTGTTTGCATCCCCTATCGGCTGCTCGAGAGGCTCAATCGAAGCGCTGACCGTTTAATGAGCTTTTTTAGAGCGGTCGCGTTTAATACAACGGGGATATCGATTCCAGACGCAAATGGCCGACGGTTTTCCGAATATTTAGCGTTCGAGTCGTCCCAGAAGTTTCCTAATTTCATCCCGACAACCGTGGACAACTACTTTTCCTCGAACACCGACGTTCTCTCGGCGTCGACCGATTCGGATCGGCAATTCCTCGATCTTTTCGATCGCTCCGGCAATTTGCAGACGCTCTTCCTGGTTCCGCGGCTCGAATGCAGCGTCCCAGACGCGAGACTTTCCTTCTCGATCCGCTTTGCAGCCGTAAGCGGCTACGGAGCCGCGTTCCAAGGCGACACAGTCGACGTCCTTTTAAAATCTAGCACGACATCCAATATGGAACGGCTACAATGAGTCAGGCCGCGCAGATATGCCGCGAGAACGGTTTCTCGCCGTTAACCTCAAGGGCGACGCGCCGCGCGTTTTCCTATTTTCCCGCGCGCAGATCTGCTCGCCGATCTCACGCCGCGTTTCTCCGCTACGGTTTCGTCGTGCGGGAATCTTCAATGAGGATCGTTGGACCTGGTAGAATCGCCGATTCGAACGGATCGTTTCGAATGTACGAGCTTCACTGAATTTTTCCATGTTCCGATGTAGAACGAACGTCTCGGGGAAGACGGGAAACTGTCATCTCGAGGAACAAAGAGTTCCTTTGTAAATATAAATGAACATTCTCGACGAGAGAAACGCAAAATGAATGGGAACGAAAGCCAAACGCGTCACAATCGCGAAACGCGCAGGAGCTTTTGGATTAACCGAGCGTTGTCTGAATAAGGTACTGCGTCCATTTTCAGTTCCACTATCGTGGAACAAGACGGCTATCGAAATGGCCACTGTCGGATGCTGTAATTCGCTGTGTTCGAGTCGTTTCGAGGAATACCGGGACCTTGCGTCGACCGAACACACCAGCGAGGAGTGTAACGTTACGTTATGGGATCGCGTGTCGTTTAATCCGAGCGTGACGATAAAGCGAACCCTGATGCCTGTTCCACTTATGGTCACGGTGGTCCTCGGGGTCCCTTTATTCCTCCGCTCGAGGCCGGGCGACGTTGATCGCGACGAAAACCGAGCGTGAGTCAGCACCGGGCAAACAACAAGACCGTTTCTGCGCCTTCGTTCCTCCCCCTCGATTAGCTTAATTGAGACCCCGAGTTCCTTCGGACGCAGAACTGCGTCTTTCCTTCCAGGGAACGTCTCCGGGCCGTGTCGTCTTTGCCGTAATAAGCGAGAAATGTCTGAGAACAGAGACAGCACGGCCGCAGGATACAAAGGGCGAGGAGATTTTCATTGAAACTCGCGTCAAAGGACAGTCGGCGAAAAGAATATGGCGAACCGAGGCTTTCCGGTACCGAGCATCAATCGAATACTTGTATCTTTAACGATGTTCGATTCTTCATCGAAAAGTTGAAGTTACCGATACTCGTAGAGTTCAATATTTTATTCCAAGCGTTTCAACCAGTTGGCGAAGCTATCGATTGACAGTAAATGCGAAAATAAGTGAGAACCAACATGTATACAAGTCGAGACGCATCGGTAAGTTGTCGAGACGGTAAGTGGTTGTAAATACTATGTAGCTTGGCTTGTTTTCGTCTTTAGAATCGTGCGCCCCGAAGAGTTCAGAGCGTTTTCCTAGATGCAACCAGTGTCTGCGCATCTTCGACTCCTAACCAAGTGAACTGCAATTGCGAAACGTTGGGAGAACTCTCCTACATCCGAAAGCCTCGATTCACCGTAACCTTTTCGGTCGTGGAAGCATCATATCTGCGATCAAAGGACGATCGAAGAAAGGCAGCAGAACAAAGGCTTCATAATTGATGAACAAAGAAGAAGATGAAGAAGAGGAGTGGAAGATCCCGAAGTGTTTTGGATCAGATCGGTCGACGGTAGGTGGACGCGATCGGCGATGCTGCACGCATGGGCGAACATCGACGTTTCCCCATAAGACGCGTGAATTTTCATTGTAAAACGGACCCTAGGTTGTCGAGCGTGCTCGGTTTTATTCACGTCTCACCGGCAACGGAACACGAGAGAGGTGGTCTTGAGCGGTGGCCGCGGAATCGATGCAGCAGCTTCTGCACTCGTTGCATCCATAAATATCCGCGTGTTCCTCTCGGTTCCCGGTGGCCGAGGCATCCCCCTATCCGGGGAATTCTGCTGTTTCAATTGTTCGTGTTTCGTTGCTCCCGCTTCCTACCGAACCCGATCTTCTTTCGCCACTTGGGCACGAAATTCTATTAAGCGAGTGACCCACTAGGGCAGCTTTGATCACGGTTGCGCTTGCACGCTAACGTTGCCTCTACTCTATTTTCCGAGGCGCGAATGGACGAATATTTTCGAGGAACGACAGGGTAAGCTGCACGATAAAGATCTAAACTAAAGATACCAAACTGTGCTGCACTTAACCGAATAATCTGTTTCTGGTTCAGATTCCCAGCTGGTAGGTCAAGAAAGTATCCGCTCCCGAAAGAGGACAACACTCTTCTGCGCGATGTCGAGATAAAACGCAGTCCGGGTCACGATAAAAACGCGGCGACCGTTTAAATAACAATAGCGCGGCCAAGCCCGCGCATTGTTCGCGGCGTCGTCCCGGGATCATGTCTTATCACCGGTGTGCGCTACGTGCGACCCGATCTTCGGATCCCCGAAGAGGAGCCGCCGATCGAGATTGCACGTTTCCTTCTCGATGCACGGTATCCGGATCACGTTGCGAGTACGTGGACGCGTTACCGTGGCCGTCCAAGCGTGAAGAAACGAGCCGAGCGTCGAACAGGCCGGCCGGATAGACGACGAAACGATTTTACGCGCGATCGGCGCCGCCAAAGCAAACGACGCCCGGCGAATCGATGGCGAACGTGAAAAGTAATCCCGGGTCACGGAGACCGTCGCGACGGTGGATGCACTCGGCGGAACAGCCGCGTCCGTGTCCGGGGCGGAGGGACGCGGCGCGATAATGCCTTTTGGCAGCCACGTGTCTCCCGGTGTGCTCCGCTCCGTTCTGGCCCCGGTCCAGAGCCACTTCCAAACTAACCGCGAAGTCGCTTTCTTTAAACGGCCGATCGCGGAACCCGCGTCTCACGGTTTATTCGATCGCTACGCGGAAAACCTCGCGCGCCTCCTCGAGCGGAATACTTTCTTCGCGTTGCTAGGGGACATCCGAACGACGCGACGCGAAGAGAATATCGTAAAGGAATTCGCGTATTGGGGAATAGGAAACGTGAATGGATGCTTCAGGTACCGAATGGAGGATGCAACTGTCGATCGATTGTTTCTGATGGGAGATACGGGAGAAGGTGTACGGTTTCATGTTAAGAGCTGACGCTCGTTCGTATACAGCGGCTTTAATTGATTAACAGTGGAATCACTGTCAAGATTGTTTCGATTGTTTTGTTTCGTAATTATTGCTATCTTAGAAGCATTGAGTACTTGAAATGATCTTGAAAATAAATAGCTTCGTTTGAGTACTATGATGAGTTTCTGAAGAAACCGAAGGTAATCTATTGTTACAATTTTGATAGGGATTACGTGTTAAGCGTGTTGAATGCTCGGTAGTTCTAGTGTTGAACATCCTTGCTTAGAAAGCAAATTCTGCTGCAGTTTAGCTATCTTCTCTCGAGTCTGCGAAATGTATCAGCCATTTATTCGGCGGCTGGAACCGAGCGCCGGTGGAAAAGGGGAGGAAGAAGGAGAAGAGGAGGAAGCGTCCGAGGAAAATCGCCGGAGACTGGCTCGAGTATGTATCAAGAGGGGACAAAGCTGAAACGACCTCTACGCGAGGAGATCTTGAACTCGTTTCGGGACAAAAGTACAGGAGTCCGGCCGGTCGGGACATCCTCCCAGGGAAGAGGAATTTGGACGACGACCAAGAAGGCCCGATATAAGCCACCCAGCGAGGCAAGAACATGCGCGGCGACACGTCTCTTCCCGATCGCACTCGAACCCAGCCGAATTAGACGCCCCTTCCATGAAAACGCCGCGTCCGCTTCGATTTTCTCTCCCGTGCCTCGGGAAATCGCCACTTTTCGCGATCCGAACTCCACGAGGCAAGGGTCTTCGACTCGATATATCATCCTGCGATTCCATCGGAACGATCCCGAAGAAATCGAAATAGAAAGCGATAGAGACTGCCCGGTAGTTCGATGTACAACATCTGGCAGTGATCCTAGTCGGGAGGATAATTGAAGCTTCCTCCATTCGGAATGTATAATTAGGAACGTTGGCTGCGTTTAATTGCCGCTCGGCCGTTGGACGTTGTACACCGATCGATAATGCGATTACGTCGAATCGGACTAGTAATACAAACCTCGCGCATTGCACGCGGCGCGTCCGGTTTCGGTTAGCAACGAAGGGAATCGTCGAGGAGCAGAATCGTACTCAAAAGACCTAACGAAAAGAAGAAAACCAAGGGACCGGAGGATCCCAATTTACCTGAGCCTTGTTCTGAACCTCGTGCCCGGTCCTCCAAGTGTTAATGGCCGGCTGCCTTGGGCCCCGTTTGTCGAGCAACAGCTCGCTGGGGCATTTCTCGAAGATGAGCACTCGCTCCGCGACGGAACCCCTAGTCAAGAACGGTCTGATAGGGTTGTTGCCGGTTCCGGTGGCAGCCGCTGCTCTGATATGCTGTTTCTGTTGAGTGGTGAGCTCTGGATGAGGCACTTGCTCGATCCTCGGTCTGGGCGTGTTGATTCTCGGCCCCCATCTAGACGTGACCGGGTCCTTGTCCTCTTTGCTAGCCTCCTTGTCCTTTCTGATCTCTGTCTCGAATTTCGACCTGGTGGTCGAGACCAATTGCTCCGTGGAATTGAACGCCGGCACGCTATTCGTCTTCTGCTCCTCCAGCCTCTGCTGCGTGGGAGGGTTCTGCTGAGCGGCTCTGTAACGGACCTTCGCGTAGTCCACCACGGACATGCTCGACAGATCGTCCTTGGTCAGAGACTTGGCGTCCGGCACGGTGCTCGCGGCAGCCCCGGGCGAAGCGGAGACCACGTTGTTCACCATCGCCGCGGAAGCCGGCACTAGGCCGCTCCCGTGATGATTGTGCCCGATTATGATCGGCTTGACCGGCTCCACCTTCGGCTTCTCCCGCTTGATGGCCGGCTTCTGCCTAGCCAGAGGCACCGTCCTCTCCACGGGCTCCTCGGTGATCACCGAGCCCGTTTTCAACGCGTTTATCAGCCGCTCCTCCTCGCGGGCGACCTCGTCCATGTACACGCTGGAGTTCGAGCCGCTGTTCCTCTTGTCTTCCTTCGCCAGCGGCTTCATCTCCAGCTGGGATCTGCCGGAGGAGGGTTCGGCGATTCTCTTGGTGTCGTTCAGCTTGTTCTTCAGCGGCCACGTGGTCAGGCCGGAGTTGACCGAGTTGGAGGCGTTCTCCAGACTCGAGGCGGTCGGCGACGTGATCACGGTGCTGGCGGGCCTCTTCTGCTGCGCGACCTTCGTCGGCGTGAGATCCGCCGGGAACGTGGTCTCTATAGTCTCCAGAAACACCTCCCTGTGGTGAGCACCGGGCGGTGTCTTCGTGGAGACCTGAGGCTTCACGATTTGCGAGGGTTTGTTGGCGAAAGGGGAGGTCGGCGAGAGCAACGCGTTCGGCTGCTTCGCCTTCGGTTGACTGCCGACGGTGCTGTTCTTCAAGGGAGACGTTTGCGGCTGCTGCGGCTGTTGCTGCTGTTGGCTGGAGTTCCTCTCGAACTTCTGCAGGGCGAACTGTATCGAGGAGGGTAGAGTCTTAGACGGCGATCTCTGCCTGGAGGCCGCTATCCTCGCCTTGTCCTCCACGACGAAGTTGTTCACCAGCTTCTCCAGGTTCCCATTGTCGAGGTTCGGCGACTGGACCAGGATGTCCACCGCGGTGGGAGAGGTGGCGCTGGTGGGCGAGGTTTTGCCGGCGTTCGACGGCGTGAGCGCGGTGCCGAACTTGTCCGCGGCAGTCGCATTGCTGTGGCAATTCAGTATCTCGGTGGGCGCCAGGCCGCGGCTCTTCCAGGTCTGATAGATCGCCTCCGCGTGGTCGCTGATCTGCTTGGCGATCGCGGCGATGTCCTCGTCGCCGGAGCTGGACGTCTCCGTCGGGAACTTCCGACGCAGGTCGTGCTTCGCGGTCGCGGCCATCTCCGGCCACGGTTCCTCCTCCAGCGGCTCCGATTGCCGGCGCTGCTCGCGCAGCTGCGGGTGATGGTCTAGCAGGAAGCTGGCCACCCGGCTGCTCAGCTCGGTCGACTGGTCCAGCACCAGTTGGACCAAGTCCGGGCTGCCCTCGACGGGCACCACGTTCACCGGGATCGCGTAACCGAAGTGGACCGCCTGGCAGTCGACCTGATCTTGCGCCGAGCGGCTCTCGTTGATCAGGCAGGCGTTCAGGTCCGGACAGTGGACGGCGCGCGCCGGCCGAGGGTCGACGGTCACCGGGACGAAGAGGTCGCGTCGGGTCGCGCAGACCCGGCGCTCGATCGTCTCGATCTCTATCGCCAGCTGTCCGCCGCCACCGACACCGCTCGAGCCCGACGCCTCACGCCGACGCCTCCTCGACGATGCTGCTTCCGTTAAGAACGAAGTCGCCACTGCTGGCATATCTCAGGCCACGCGGCCCGAGCACCGCGTCCTCCACAGCCTGCGGGGCTGCCGAGCTTCGGTCCACGCGATCTTCGTGCCTCCCGCCTGTCTCCCCATGATAACCCTCTTCGGACTTTTCCTCGACGTTTGCTCCTGAACACCCCAAGTTCGCCCTGGTCACTGAGACATCGAGTTCCTCCGCGGAATGTCGATCGTCGAAATGATTTCTACCGGTGCTCCGAAGACTCCTCGCACTGTGTTCACCGTTCACCGATAGGGTACCGTTGCAGTTTCGTCGCGGCGGTTACGCAACCATCCACTGTCACTAATAGATAGCAATTCGATTCTCGAGAATCACGATGCAACGGCGATCGAGCTACATCTCTGCGTCCCCCGGCGGCGCCGCGGATCGAGAGCGATCTGAAAGAAGATAAATATAAATTAGTATTTGTCTCGGCCAGTCCGACCTGCCGCGTGTATTTTCGGACGCGATGATACGTGCTCTGAGGTGGTCGGCGCGCTAGTACGGAAGCTTGCTCGATCGTGTACTATAAATCTCGCCCTTTGCATCACAGAGCCTCTATGCAAATACTGGGACGAGTTACGCGCGCGAGCTTGTCTTTTACCTTGGAACGTTGCTAAGGATTTCGAGCTGTGCAAGATCTACGATACAGGCTACGAATAGCTACGGTACAGCGTTAACAGGGTTCAAAAGTATGCGAGCGCTCCGAAGATTCTTGTTCGGCAGTTCGCCGTGTTCTTTCGGAAGGAAGCGAAACAACGGTCCCGAACAACGATATTGCCCGATATGAATAACTGTGACGCAAAGCGCGCCGTCGCGCGGAGATAACGCGAGAGCATTATCAACGATAATGCATCGCGAATTAATGTGCGGAGGAAAGGGGATAAGCCGCGGGATTTCCAAAAACGATACCGGCGGCGTTTCGACGGGGAAAACAAGCAACTATCCTCGGGTTTAGCTGCGTCCAATAGGCTTTGTCCGGGCGAAAAAGCGACGCGGTATCGGTACTTTCACCCTGCATTGCTGCGCGTATGCAAATGCACGCGTATACACATGAGCCGGAGCGAGCAGACGTGCGTGA